TTAACGTGTAGATAATATACGCTGCACTGTCATGGTTTGAGTCCCGCTGGGGATGCTGATGGAACCTAGGCGAAATCGAAACTACAGTCAATTTCATCATGGATTAGAATACCTTTTGGGAAAGCAAGACTATGCGAAATTCAATGAAGATATAAGTATACTCATAGCATTGTGGGAAAATTCAACTACCAGTCCTTCATCAGCTTAAATGAAATAACGTTAACACATCTCATTCAGGAGGGAAGACATCCCTCGACCATTATCACCAGTCAGAACAACTGTGATATTGAAGTTAATCGTTTAAGAGAGAAAATGAAAATGTTGTAGAATCTATATTTCATCAAGAAAGGAGTGGTCTTGTTTACTCGTGTTGATTTGCATTGGTGATTATATTGCCTTCTTCAATTTACTTGCCATATCGCAGATGGTCCTCTACGGTATCCACTCTTTCCGGGACCTCGCATTTCAATTCGATACAATTAGCTACTGCCTCCTGGCACGCTTTGCCGCAATTTGCCCTTCCTTTGGGGCACGCGCTCCTGCACTGTATCCCGACTTCCCAGCAACCTGCCGAGCATTTCACACGATTCTTTATGGCCTCAGAGGAGGCAAGCAGAAGACAGAATAAAATAATTCCGGCAAGAAGAGTCTGTGAAATAAAGTGAACAAAAAATTAGTTTTTAAAAGTAGACGCCTGTATAAAATCCCTAACATCGGGCCCGTTTTCATGGTCTAACGGTGGACGAAACTATGAGGCATAGTGAAAATGACTGTCATATTACAGGGGAACTACTCCAAAGTGAGCATCACAATGGATTATGATTTAAAACAGTCAATTGGTACATAGCTTGACTGATAAATCAGGCTCATGAAGCTGGAATCCGCTACTGTAAGGGCAACAGCAACAATGTGTTCGTCCAAAAAAGATGCTGACATACAGTAAGAATGCAATTTGGAGGGGTAGCAACAAAAGATGCCAAGCTATCGGTATAGAGACGAAAATGAAGCCTATGATGACACCAGCATGAATGTGGCCTGTCTGACGTTGGTGCCTCTGAGACTATTAGTGATTTCGGGCTAGCATGTGGCTACTAGTATTTGAGACTTTAATCCTCAGTAGACCTGCCATACGTTTGTATAGATCGACTTGGTTGCCTAAACATCATTCCAAATAATGACAAATTTAGACATTACTACCTGACTCCAGAGAATACACTCCAAGGCTGCGAAGCAAACAGTCGGAAATATTTTAAACGCATTCTTAGAATTAAAAAAAATGAAAATAATAATTCGCTTCTGGATAATTGGCACTTAAGCATTAATTTAAGCAAAAAATTATGTGGATATATTTGCTCATGGGCCCAAAATAGGCAACCTTTATGTTCAAATAATAAATATTTTGGGAAAAATCATAGCATAATATCACAATAAAAGCCTACCTTCATTGTTAGATGAGAATATGCGATGACTGCTAACATACTCAACATAATCGTCCATTTATATGGGCCAGTTTCTCGATTATCACTTCTGTCATCTAGTGCTAATTGCAATTTTGCATTCGTTAATCTCACGTAATTACGTTATAGTAAAGGCTCTCTCTTCCCGGAAGTGTGGTCTATCCTTGTCCACAGTATCAAATGGCAAAGGGATCCCGGAAGTTGATAATTCTCTACAATGTAGGCATAGGAAGTTCTAGTTCTACGATAATTGATTATGCGTTAATCTCATCTCCTGCTTGAGGGTAATTTTGGTAACTAGTTAAACTTTAATATGAAATAAAATGAGGCTTGATAATTTCTGCAAAAATTTTCTTTTCATATATAACTAGAGTTTCGAGACTACCAGTAAATTAGTTATAGGAAATGTATTCACCCTATTCCGTTTAAGGTGATGAAGGACTGGTAGTATAATTTTCCCACAATTATATGAGTAGATCTGACGTTTCCATTAAATTTGACAGAGCCTTGCTTTCCTAAAAGTTGTTATCATCCAGAGCGAACTACAGTTTCGACCTCGCATGGGTCTTATCAACACCCCAGCGGGAGTCGAACCGTAACAGCTCAGCATGTGAGCTTGACATGCTGGCCACTCAGCCACATTGCAACGAGTGCTCTTGGGTCACAGGGCAGATGTGAATTTCAAGGAAGGCCAGGCCTTTTTCCATATCACATTTCTTGGTGGGATTGTCGATGTAGCAAACGTATTTTTGCTATAACACTCGACTACATTAGTTATTTTTGTAAATAGGTAGGGTTTCGATATATGAGATGTAAAATTCAATGGAAACGTCAGCTCTACTAATATCACTGC